TCTTTTCAGGACCCCAACTTGATGTTTCGGGACCCCACTTTGGGTCCCGACCCCAACTTTGGGAAACACTGATTTAGAGTTCATGTAATCATTTAATACTATTTATTCTTCATATTTGATCATTTATTGAATCACAGAGCAGTTCAGTCAGTATGGTTCTAAATATAAACAAGCTATATTGTGAAGAATGAAACTTGTAGATATTTATGATAAACTACAAAAAAGAGCATAGCGTTTTGTTGTAGGTTTTTTGTGTGTGTGTGTGGGGTAACGCTAAGCAGAGACTCGTCACCTATAATATGGGACAAACAAAAGTTCATCTGTTAGAGTTAATATTGTTTCATTAGAAGAACTYAAACAGTGTCTGTCACAGAACAGCTCAGTCTGTGTGCATCTCGCTCCTGTAACAGCACTGTCAAAGAGAGGAGTTTGGTCACGTGAGCAAAGTTGGACYTATCTGTTAGATAACGWCGCTCTGAACACAAACTTATAGTGTGTTAGYTTTTAGATACCAACGTCTCTGGTAGCTCAGGAGTGACGTGTGGAGGACGGGGTTTGTTCACTCAGGACAGGAGCTGCAGGCTGAACGGTGTTTATCCTGCTGCTCTGACATCAGAAAGACCCGCCCCGCCCTGCTCTGCTCTGATTGGACAAAGCTGTGGGGCTTTGTTTGATTTGCTGAAAGCAGCGTCTGTTTAAACTTGTATCAGACTGGGCGGCTTGAGACCGCAACAGAATACAACCAGGTTTCTCTTTTCCTTATTTTTTAAATACCGAAAATACTGACACYGACGAAATGACGTCGGTTATTGTCATAAATGTCGGTGTCGGCTAATTTTCGGTTTATCGCCCAGGCCTACTAGAATGTGTTTTATTTTTGAGAACCCTCATGTTTTCACATCTGCTGAAAAACAAGGCCGAACGTCTGGTTTTTATTTCACTCATTAGTCYCGTTTTTGTTGGATGCCCAGGCTGTGATGTCCAGCGACTTCGCCATCTCCAGGTTCAAACACCTCAGGAAGCTGCTGCTGGTTCACGGCCACTGGTGCTGCCACCGGCTCGCAAACATGATCCTCTACTTCATCTACAAGAACGTGGTAAGAAGGGTCTCTGTGAAGTAGCTTCATTTAGATTTAATCCTGATTCCTGARATAAATACTAGAATGGTTCATGTTTCCTAAATACAAAGGCTGGTCTTTCCTGCTCGGGTATGTTGGTAATATTTGGTCACATTCTGACTGTCTTTGTGTCTGCAGATGTACGTGAATCTGCTGTTCTGGTATCAGTTCTTCTGTGGTTTCTCCGGGAGCGTCATGATCAACGCCTGGGTGCTCATCCTCTTCAACCTGGTCTTTACTTCAGTTCCTCCGATCATCTACGGCGTCCTGGACCAGGACAAACCCGCAGAAACGCTGATGACGCTGCCTGAGCTCTACAAGACTGCGCGGACCTCCAAGGTGAGTCTGCAGCTCCTGAAAGGGAGCACAACAAAACACTGATCCAAAACCTGCAGAGTAGGCGAGACCTGAAGACCCACATCTAATAAAAATAACAAAAATGATAAGTTTGTAGAGTCTGGTTCTGAACGTATAACATGGCACTTCTCTAAATGGGATCTTGTGTCTTCAGTTTTGAACAACAAGAGACTTTGTTCAACTAMTATATACTGATGATTACTAGGGGTTCAACAATACATGTACCCGTATCAAACTGTTAATACACACTATGTATCGAACAATACAGATTTTTTACCTTTATTTTATCAACTTTTCTTCTGAAGATGCTCTGTGTTGAAGGATCAGTGGATCTGTGTTCGACTACTCCACCTAGGCTGCATTGTAGAGCACAGATCCACTGAGAAACTTGCCATTTTGTACTTTTGAGGTTAAACAAATGTTCATAATTCATTTAAATAAATTACAAGTTAAAAAGGACATGGAAATTTCTTTATTTTTGTATCAAAAAAATATAGAACCGTGAGACTAAAGTAACTAACCGAAGTAAGTAACCGAACCGTATCGTGAATTTTCTGTATCGTTGCACCCCTAATGATTACACTTTTCTGATTTTGATCTTTTTTAAAATTAATTTATTTTGTATTTTATCTTTTTGCAGAGTTGTAAAGTAACTAAGTACAAATACTTTGTTACTGTACTTAAGTAGAAATTTTGGTTATCTGTACTTGAGTAATTATTTTTCAGCGTACTTTTTACTTTTACTCATTACATTTTTACACAATTATCTGTACTTTCTACTCACTACATTTTTTAAAAAGGTAAAAAGTAGAAAGTCGTTACTCCTATTTTATTCTGAGTTGTTATTACTTAAAAAAATACTATCCTGATAAATTGTGTGAATTTAATTGTGGTTGGATGAGAAGTATAAATATATACCATTCTGACACACTATTAGCTTGTACACAACCCATCACAGCTGCACACCGTTACAAAAAAAATATTTTTTGAAGTCACCTCCCAATAAATGTCATTTTGGAAAATCTAACGGCTCAGTTTTACTCAGTACTTTTACTTTTAATACTTAAGTAGATTTTGTGTCAGAAATTTACTTTTGATACTTAAGTACAAAAAATATCAGATACTTTAAGACTTTTACCCAAGTAAAATTTTTTTAAAACTTTTACTTTTACCAAAGTATTTTTATAATAAGATACTTGTAGTATCACTTTGAGGTACTTTATACAACACTGTATTTTTGTGTCTGATTACTAAAACGCAGACTAACAGAAGAGTTTCCCTGCAGATTTATGTTCCCTCCACGTTCTGGGTCACAATKCTTGATGCCTTTTACCAAAGCCTCGTCTGCTTCTTCGTGCCTTACTTTGTAAGTTTTTCTTTTATTGATGAAACTTTTCTTTGAGGAAACTTCAAACTGTCGCATCACATTTAATGTCCGTCTGTAAATGAGTGGGGTGTTTTCCTCAGGCGCTGGCCGGATCCGATGTGGGAGAGCTGTCCTTGGGCTCACCGATCAGTGCCTCGGCCCTCCTCATCATCCTGCTGCACCAAGTCATCGAGAGCAACTCACTGGTCAGAATCACCGTTCAGTTTGACATTTGATTTGGCTCTCTTCAAACTGAATTTAAAGTGTTTTTTTTTTGTTTGTTTGTTGCAGACGTGGATTCACGTCCTGGTGTTGGTGCTCAGCGCCGGCTCGTACTTCGTCTTCACTCTGCCCTTCAGTGCCTTCTGCGTGGTCTGCGGTAACCCCACCAACCTGTTCGGGGTGGAAGCACATGAGCTGTCGCAGCCGCTCTTCTACATCACCTGCGCTCTCACTACGGTCACCGCTCTGTTACCAAGGTGCACAGCAACCCCCCTCACAGGTTGGGATTTATTCTTTATAACCCATCTGATCAGGGGATTGTTGTTTCGCAGGTGGTTGTTTCGGATTCTGCACAACACCCTGTCCGCCTCTGCTGATCTGAGGTCGGCTCAGCAAGACGAGGCCGACACGGAGCGGTACCACAGGAGGATGCAGCGCTGGAACCTGAAGCACTCCAGGGCCAACAGGGTGCCGGTGTGTGCCGACAACCCCGGCCTCGACTCCAGCATGACCGACGTGGTGTCCTGACCCCCACAGATTACTGCTTTTACAACCCAAACCCAAACCGGCAAGTMGCCTGAACTGTAAAAGGTCCTGAAGGATTTGAAGACCTTTGGTGCAATAAACAGTTGGTTTCACTCTGCAGCTTTTTCTAGCAGAGCGGACCGATTCTGTCACTTATGACTGATGCTAAAAAACACAACCAGCATCTAAAAACCTCCTCGTAAAAGGAATGTATATTTTCTTCTATCGTCTGAATCTCTGATAACCAAACACTGACATGCTGGTTGGAACYTGTTTACAAATGTCAGCTGATCATGACCACAGGTGTGTTTTTGTTGTTTACCTGCTCAGCTGGGGTAAACGAAGAAATAATCGGACAGATTTTTTTTTGAACGTGTGTGTTTTTATTTATTTGCTGTAACCAACAATCAGAAGCAGCTTCAGTTTACATGAAGGACGTGACGTCGGGAAACGGAAGTTAAATCTGAGCTGGATGGTTGTAAATCTGGAACAATGTATTAGTTTTTTTTTCATAATGTTAACTAAACAATAATTTGATTTTCAAACAAGCTCTTATCCTGACTTTAAAGGAAATGTTGCGCACGGTCCTTCAAACCAGCTTTTGATGGTTTTAAGCAGAACCACTCAGGTGTTTAAAGTGCCTCATTCCTCCGATTTCAATACAGATTTAAAAGCAATAAATAATAAGAGATGAATGCACCTTACAGCCTCCAGGTCCATCAGATCGTTGCTTTAAAATCTAAACCCACAGCTACCAAAGAAGAGTTTCATCATGTGTAGGAATTCAGTTTTTGTACTGGTTTTATGCCTCTAATAATAAACTGACTTGGCAATGAATAAAATGTTTGGACTTTGTGCGCCCCCCCTCATTGTGTCCTGGAACAACCTGCAGGGAAGGGGTGGGGTTAGTCATTAACAAAGCTGTATACTATACAATATAGAAATATACAGTTTAAGATTTGTTGAATGTATTTCTTGTCAGATCATCAGAAACAGGTGAGTGGGGAAAGAAACTACAAAATTTAAAATGTGCTGCTTTTAAGAAAGTTTTTGAATCAAAGCTAAAGCATTTTGGAGAAAATGTGGAGCTGTTGGTTTCATGCACTGAAATTGAACTGAAAGCACACACAAATAGTGAAAGTTTAGGTTTTTTTTATTCAAAGTTGTTGGAAATGTCTGATTAAAACACTGAGTTGCAAAATCTTTTCACTTTTGTTCCCTATGTTTATTATTTAAATGAGTGTTTTACCAATGCACTACATCTTCAGTCTGGCTTTAAAACATTGCATAGCATGGAATCTACTGTATGTCTGTTGGGCTTGGGGCTTGTGAATCCTCCACTGCTCAATTCTTATATGGGGTCCCACAGGGTTCAGTACTGGGACCCCTGCTTCTCTCCCTACATGCTTCCCCTAGGATATCCAGAAAACACGGTGTCGCTTTTCATTATGTTGACGGCCAGATATATCTCCCTCTGAGGAAAAGTGATGTCTGAACTCTCAAAACCTTGCTGTTATGTCTTCATGTTAAAGCCTGGATGGCCCTAGCCTGGCCCTTGCCTTCCTACGCAGTTCCGCTCAATTCTAGTTTCCCAAGCGAAGAACAAGGGGCTGMTTTTTACCAGGCCAGGATGGCCCCAAACTTCTTGAGTTTCAATGAGAAGAAAACGGGTGATTGTGTTTTAAGATGAGAATTAATTTTAAGTTGGACTGCCAAGTTAGTGACAAAGTTCTAGCTAGAACTTTGTCACTAACTTGGCAGTCCAACTTAAAATTAATTCTCATCTTAAAACACATCAATATTTATTTTTACCCTAAATTTGGTTTATTGTTTTGGTTTACTGCAGCATATATTTTTTAGGATTTTTTTTAATTAAAACACTTTTTATTTTAAAAAGGGGAAATTCCACAACAGTTTCAGAAGGTTGCAGTCAGTAGTCTGGGTTAATTATTTGGTAAGCTGTAAAAACTAAACATGAGCAATCATTTCCTCCAGGGCGTGTCTGAATCAAACACAGTCCTTTCACTTCCTTTTTTTTGTTTTGTTTTTCTTTTTAAGCTGCAGCAGCTTCAGAAGATCTCTGATCTCTGCGGAGGTGGCTGCAGTAGAGATGAGCTTCCACAGTGATGCTTCCAACGAGGATCTGAGTGACGAGCTGGAGACTTTAGGGTGAGATGGGCTCACATTATTCTGATTTTAATCCCTGCAATGAGGGTTTGACTTGCTGCATAAAAGAAATGATTTGTGTATTTAAAACCGCTGACTCACCAGCTGTGATTGGTTTCATTTGATCTTACGTTTCTTTCACTGATTCACTCATTTCTTTGTTTTCAACTGTAGATGATGAAAACGTAGTTATTTTTACAGTCAGTTGTTTGAAATTGATTGAATCAGTGTAAAATAATTACTTCTGACTTATCTGAGCTCAAAATCAGAACATTCAATTTATTTTCTTGTCGAAGTTTTATAGCACATTTTCTTTTATCATATGTTCTTGTAACTGTTAAGTTTATTAATTCATATTTTGCAGTATTCAGGACAAACTAAAACATTGGTAATCTACTTTGAATAAATGGTTTTAAAACAAACGTAAATTCTTCCAGCTGCTATTTCGTGTTTGCAGCTCTGTGAGGCTGTAAAAGTGTTACAGTAATGACATGTGATGCCATCAGGTCAGACAATAAACACAAACAATTTAAAAAAAATTATTATCCAGAGATGACACTCTTGTTGTTTACCCTCCTGAGAGTTTCTACAGAAAGAAATGTGAGCAGTTCACAGTTCTTGACATATAATTTAAATTTCGTTTAATTTTTTTTCTTGATGTAAATCCACAAACATTCATGCAAATAAAGAACTTTCACATCCCTTTAACATTTTCCTTTGACTCTGTCACAGTTAAACTTATGAAAGTTTATTTTTTTCGCCATTTCTTTGCATATTTACCTGGACTTTCTACAGTGTCCATCAATGCTGTTTAAACTACAACTACAAGCACAAAGAGCATTCTTATTTACTGACAGAGTCAAATGTTTTCCAGTGTTTATGAAAATTATAAATCTTGTGGTCTGTTGAGCAGGTTTTAACATCTGCTGCAGTGTTTAATGGCTTGGAAAAAATGACACCGCCCTACAACAGAAAATGGTCCAGATCAGTAGTGGGAAAAGAAAAAAATGGATACAGGTTTTGAATTTGTGGATCTGAATTTAAATCATCAGCTGGTWATTTAAATGTGTATGTTGGATCTGTTTGGATGGAAGTTTTTATTTATTAAATCCAGTCCACCTCATGGTTTTGTGATTTTTATATGATTGTTTTGAAGGTGGTACCACTATGACTTGTCCCGACACGCTGCAGAGGCCCTTCTCCTGTCCAATGGGACAGATGGAAGTTACCTCCTGAGGAACAGTAACGATGGTCCGGGTTGCTTTGCTCTGTCCGTCAGGTCAGTCCCACAGGACATGTTAAACTGGTACAGGACATTTTGGACTGGTACAGGACATGTTGGACTGGTACAGGACATGTTGGACTGGTACAGGACATGTTGGACTGGTACAGGACATGTTGGACTGGTACAGGACATGTTAGACTGGTACAGGACATGTTAGACATGTTAGTTAGACTGGTACAGGACATGTTAGACTGGTACAGGAAATGTTAAACAGGTACAGGACATGTTAGACTGGTACAGGACATGTTAGACTGGTACAGGACATGTTAGACTGGTACAGGAAATGTTAAACAGGTACAGGACATGTTAGACTGGTACAGGACATGTTAGACATGTTAGTTGGACTGGTACAGGACATGTTAGACTGGTACAGGACATGTTAGACTGGTACAGGACGTGTTAGACATGTTAGTTAGACTGGTACAGGACATGTTAGACTGGTACAGGAAATGTTAGACTGGTACAGGACATGTTAGACTGGTACAGGAAATGTTAGACTGGTACAGGACATGTTAGACTGGTACAGGACATGTTAGTTAGACTGGTACAGGACATGTTACACTGGTGCAGGACATGTTAGACTGGTACAGGACATGTTAGTCTGGTACAGGACATGTTAGACTGGTGCAGGACATGTTAGACTGGTACAGGACATGTTAGACAAGTAAGACTGGTACAGGACATGTTAGACTGATACAGGACATGTTAGACTGGTACAGGTCCTGTTAGACTGGTACAGGGCATGCTAGACTGGTACAGGACATGCTAGACTGGTACAGGACATGTTAGACTGGTACAGGACATGTTAGACTGGTACAGGACATGCTAGACTGGTACAGGACATGTTAGACTGGTACAGGACATGCTAGACTGGTACAAGACATGTTAGACTGGTACAGGACATGCTAGACTGCTACAAGACATGTTAAACTGGTACAGGACATACTAGACTGGTACAAGACATGTTAGACTGGTACAGGACATGCTAGACTGCTACAAGACATGTTAAACTGGTACAGGACATGCTAGACTGGTACAAGACATGTTAGACTGGTACAGGTCATGTTAGACATGTTAGACTGGTACAGGACATGTTAGACTGATACAGGACATGTTAGACTGGTACAGGACATGTTAGACTGGTACAGGACATGCTAGACTGGTACAGGACATGTTAGACATGTTAGTTAGACTGGTGCAGGACATGTTACACTGGTGCAGGACATGTTGGACTGGTACAGGACATGTTGGACTGGTACAGGACATGTTAGACATGTTAGACTGGTGCAGGACATGTTAGACTGGTACAGGACATGTTAGACTGGTACAGGACATGTTAGTTAGACTGGTACAGGACATGTTACACTGGTGCAGGACATGTTAGACTGGTACAGGACATGTTAGTCTGGTACAGGACATGTTAGACATGTTAGACTGGTGCAGGACATGTTAGACTGGTACAGGACATGTTAGACTGGTACAGGACATGTTAGACTGCTATAGGGACATGAATGAGGACAGTATGACATGTTAGACTGGGACAGGACATGTATGAAGACAGCAGGACAGTAGTGAGATGTGCTGTAGAGTAGATGAGTAGCTACAATGTGGAGGTGGGACTGCAGCAAGGTTCAGCTCTGAGCCCTTTCTTTTTTGGACTGGTGATGGACAGACTAAGAGGACAGACTAAGTGAGAACAGATTAATAGTCTGTCCTCATCTGCTAGCCGGTGAGGACAGGCTAACAGGTGAGGACAGGCAGGAATCGTGGTTTAGAATGTTTGCAGATGATGTGCTCTGTGAWGAGAACAGGAAACAGGTGGAAGAGAATTTGGAGAGGTGGAGGTATGCACATAAGAGGAATGAAGGTCATCCATATATTTGTTCTTTTGTTGGACATTATTGTTAAAAATGAAACATTATTGGTTGATATTTCTTGTCATTTAAACCCAGAGCGAAGGACTCGGTGAAGCACTTCCAGGTGACGCGCAGAGACAACGCCTACATATTTGGGTTTAATGAGTTCTCCAGTTTTCAGGACTTCATCAGTCACTTTGCTAACCAGCCTCTGCTGGGAAGTGACGCAGGTACACTCACTTGRTTACACAGAAAACACAATCTAGTTCTGCTTTCATTCTTCACATACCTTTATTCAATACACCTCTACGGTCTAACAGAACCTGACGCTTTTAAAGATGCTTCGATTGTTTAGAGTGAGAAAATAGTTTCATAATTTATTTTCTGCTTTTATCTTTGCCAGTCAGACTCAAAACAGCTGTTTAAACTAAGTTAAATCTTTAAACTTGAGCGTTTATAAAATAGAAAACATGAAAAATCCTTTCTGCCATGTCTGTGAGGGATGTTGTCCTAGAGCAAGGCACCTTTTCTCGCTGCCTGCTGTTCCACTTGTGTGTTTCTGACATGTGATTGGTCAGAAAACAGGTCTTGTCTTTGTGTAAGCAGTGATGACATCATAATACGTCCAACATGAAGTAGAGCTAAAACGCTGCTAGTTTCCCACCGTATCAGAAATGTGTGTTGTGTCGTCGGAGCTCGTTTCTCCATCAGAGTAACCTCTCCTCTGTGTTTGAACCAGGAACCCTCATGGTGCTCAAGTGTCCGTACCCGTGGCGCGTGGAGGAGCCGTCCATCTACGAGTCGGTGCGGGTTCACACCGCCATACAGTCGGGCCGGACGCAGAACGACCTGGTGGCTATTGCACCTGCGGTAAAACCTCTTCTTCTTTCAGCTGTTCCCTCCTCAGGAGTGGCCACAGAGAGTCATCTTCAGCTCACTCTGTCCTCTCTACCTGCATCTACCCTTAGCAAAAAGTAGTGTATACAAGTGTTCTTTAAGTATACTAATAAAAAAAGTATACTTCCAGTTTACTTTTAATGTACTTTTTTGAGATCTACGTAACCAAGTTTATCTTACACTATACTTGGCTTGTACTAAAAATATACTACAAGTTCAAGTATACTTAATCTATACTAATCTTTAAACTTTTGGCCAAGATAAATTTTAGTAGTACGCTGAAAGTACATTTTCACACACTGGTTTATCTGTAGTATATTTCAAGATTAAACTAAAGTTATACTTAGAAAATTAC